TGGTTCGATTTGTGCTTTTGAGAAATCCAATAGAGCCATGATTATTGCCGGATGCGGAAACATTACGAACCAAAGAAATAATTACGATCTTTGCTTCTTCTCCTTGGAAGTTGTCAACTGTTCTCAAATCAACTTGTTGATTTAACGATTTTTTCGTAGCAACACTTGTTTCTTGTTCAACCTCTTCAACCTGCTCTTCAAATTCGGCAATTTCTTGGGCATCTCTTTCATCAATAATCACAGCAAAGGACTTCTTTAAAGCATCTCTAATTTTAATCATCTGTCCTAAATATGGAGTAAGTACTGCGATATCTAAGGGTTTTGTATATCCATTACTAACGAAGTACTTAACCATTTCAACAACCATCTTAACCTCATATGTATTCACATGAGATTGCATTGCAAACTCGCCACCAGAACTATCTTCGGGAGTTCTATGCTCAATAAAGTAAACATTATGCTGTGCCCCACGTACGTCAGGATATTTGGTGGTGTTTTCGCCATCAATTAAATCAGGATACAAAGTGTATCTAATTAGGTCAGAAACTTCTCTTCTCATGCGTCTTTGAGTTAAGAGTTGAGATTTTTCAATTTTCATTGCTTTATCACCTAAAACCAACCGTTCAAATAATGATTTATCTAATTGATAATTCTCTCCAAGAGATGAATCAATGCTAAGAGTATAAGTAGCAATATGCGGTCTTAATTGATTATGATCACCTAAAGATTTTAAAAAAAAAATTTTTTTTATAAATATAAAAATAAAAAATTTTCATTTTTCCAAATTTCTAGAGTTAAACATATTTACCAATTAAAATTAAATGTTGTGTTGAGGATGTTAATGTACTAAGGATATGAGCTTCAAGCACTTCTCCGGCTTCTTCGCATATAACAATTTTCGGTCCAATAGATCTAAGTAAATTTCCAAATTTAGCTGAACCATATGTTGTCATTCCGATAACATCACAATTTAATAAAACTTCTCTTCGCCCTTCTTCATAAATCTCGATCATCTCTTTACGTTTTTCATCGTGAGCTTTTCGTAAAGTTGATAAACTTTCTGTGAGTTCATCAAGAATTTTTGTTTTCCAATGATCATGAAGT